CCGCTCACACCCCCACCATGGACTGTTCTCCCTGCTGCCCTCTGGGAAGAGACTTCGAAGCATTGGATGCAGGACCAGCAGGTTCTGTAACAGCTTTTTCCTCGCTGCCATCAGACTGTTGAACAGTTGAAAAAACTCTAATCAAGTCAATATCTCCAGGGCTACCAACATATGGAAGTTCTGCACCCAGATGGACAGGTTGGCCAAGGGCACCACTGAAAAGAGAAGCAACCATTCTGATTTCCCTTCAATAATCCTTTTTTTTTTTAATCAAATCTGGCTGGATTAGAGGAAGCAACAGAACGTATGCAGATGTCTGCATTCAGAGGCAGCCTCTTCTTCAAGTACTGATGCTGGCAGCAGGTGTTAAGTTCACCTGGGGGGCGGGGCTAATCCTGTCTGCCTCACATGTCAGATTTTAATCTGCTGTTTAGAGGATCTACCTGGGAAATATGATGTTATTACAAACTTCTGTCTTTCTTCACCCAGTTTTTGTGTCATCTGAGGTGTAAAAGCAAAATGTTCACGTCTTGCTGTTACCAGACTTGCCTGAGTAAATACTCAGCCAGCCGGGTCAGAACAACCACAAGACAGAAAATATAAAGAGCTTACCTCTGTAGTAAAGCAGTTGCTGTTGAAATGGTGGCATACATAAAAGTACATCTTAAATATCAAAAGACTGGTTTTCAGAAGCTCTTGCAAGTGATTGGAGAAATTAACATACTGTTAAAAAAAGTGACATAAGCACCCCCATCATGATTCAAAAGGCCAATCACAGAGCCTGTGCACGACAAAAGACTCCAGCAACCCAGAGGAACAAGGGGCAGCTCTTTGATTAGCATCTGACCACGAACATGTGCAGGATGATGGCCTGTTTTGTGGTAACCATACTTGCTTTGTGTTGTTTTTAGTTTGTATAAGTTTTCTTTGAAAAGAGCAGATTGAGATGCTAAAAGATGCTGGACACAAAATAAAAACTCCTTAACGGTAAAGGTAAACTGATTGAAATGAAAAGTAAATATCTGCGATCAGCTATTTTAACCCCAAATTTACTCAATTTAAAGAGGAAGGTCCTGGGAATGAGCTCTTTCAGCAAACAGACATGTTTGTTACATGAGGGTCAGAGATCACTTTATTGTTTTTATGCAGTGTAGCTGATTCTTTTTAAGCTGATCAACTTAAAAAAGGTTCAAAGCTGTTCAAAATACTGTCTGTGTGACTCTGTTTCTTTTGTTTAGTGCATCTGTTTACTGACGGAGGGCTCTTTATCATGTGTTGAATGTTTTGTCTGGAAAAAAAGATGACGGCCATCTTAGCCCTTAGCTATTACTTTTTATCTGTTCGGTACAGTTAACATTTTAGGCAGCAGAGTATTGGTTGGTGGAGCTAACTTCTTAGTTAGCTTTCCCCACCACTATAAAAGAAAGTATGCTTCAGGTTTTTATTTTGAAGATCTGAGATAAGCTTTTCCTTTAAAATGATCTATTTCACCAAACAGGCTAAAACTGAAATGAATCTCCGTCTTTCCCCCTTCTGAGGGAGGCGCGGGTGTCCGTGGGAGTTTCTTACAGATGTGTAGAGGAATCCCTCGGCGTTCATGCCCACATAGAGGCCAGCCTTCACTCCCTGGATGGCCACCACCCTAAGCCCCACAGGGATCAGGTTAAACAAAGCTGCAGGAGGAAACAGAAACAGGTTCAGGCTCAGGAAGCAAAACAAAAACACAAATCAGTCCAACAAAGACACGCACTGCCTCTGTGTTTCTGCAGCTTTAAAACCATCCGCTGACGTGATGCTGCGCCTGCAGCTTATAAACGTGGTGAAACAGAATAAAAGAGCGAGGGACTGAGTGATGGGAGGCGATTTAATCTTCTGGGACTGAGAGCTGCCGTGTGGGTGAGGAGGATGAGGAGGTGGAGGAGGAAGAGGCCTGTGGCGATGCTGCTGTTAATCCTCCTTTATTTAACTCAGATGATCTGAGAGAAAACCAAAACATCTCCTCCTCCTCCTCCTCCTCCTCCTCACCCTGCTCGTCTCCGTGTCCTCCTTTTCATCTGGTTTTCAGAGGCAGCATCCAGCGCGGATCTGCTGCAGGAATGCGGCTGAAAACACCCAACCACGTTCAGAAAATTAGCCTCCAGTGCTCCTCTAGAACAACTGTTCTGTGAAACATCTAAATTCAACTTTTGTTCTGCAGAACATGTTAGAACCTTCACTCACTGTAGTCGCTGTTCTCGTCTTTGCAGCCGCTGATGGTCCCATCGGGCAGCATCTGGAGGTAGAAGCCCTGCTCGCTGTGGAGACGCGTCACGATGCCTTTCAGCTGCGGCTCTGCAAACACACACACAACAAAAAAAAAAGAGGTTCAATTCAGTTCCTGAATGTTTTATTGAAGCTTTCAGCGGCTCAGCTTGTCCTTCAGTACCATCAGATCTGATGTCCTGCATCTTTCCTGCCCAGCAGCCTAATGTGCTTCTAAATTATTGGTTTATCTGCATCTAAAGCTCCTTTTGAGGTCTACTTTGGATTCCTCAAAACTCGGATTTAAGGCGGAAGCTGAACATCACCACATCGTTGATGTTCTCCTAGCATTTTCTGCTACTTAGACTATCCTGTACAGCTCATGTGATAACAAACTGGTGTAAAATATAAAGCAGCTTCAATGACCTGCTTGCACCGGTGCCTGAACTGTCACCTTCTGATCCAAGTTCAGCATCCAGTCCTCTGAAGGCCAAACCTGACCTAAACAGAACTTCACAGGATTTTTCCAACATATGCCTTCCTAAGCTTAAGGCGGTGTTTGCAATGAAGGGAAAAAGGATCTGAATAATCAGCGTATAAAGGTATGAGTCAGCAGGAAGGTACAATAGAATCAGCAGAAGCATTTATATAGTATGTCCCAAGGCACCACATTTCTTCCACAATCAAAGAAAATGAGCAAACTGAGTCCTTCCTGAACTGATAAAAGATGAGACAGAAACGGTTCAGGGAGGCTTTAAAGAGGCCAGCAGCAACAATGAAGCAGCTCCAAGAATATCCAACAAATGCTGCTTCTGTTCAAAATGGCCCAAAAATCTTTTAATGGACCAAGTAGGAGGGTCAAAATTCCTCAGACCTTAAAATCTTGTAAGGAAGGGTTTGGTATCCTACTGTAGGTCCACAAAGGAGTGTAATCAGGGATCCTTCCTCCCAGCTGCAGTCAGAGATTTCAGTAATTATTCCCAGCAAACCAATAAGATGTTATATGTCTGCATCATTTA